GTTGGTTCCAGCTAAAGTTGTCCGTTAATAAAGTGGCCCTATAGTTAAACCCAACACTTGTGTTTGCCTCATTATTTCTGGCTTGGGGGGCAATGAAGTCTTTTAACTGTAACATGTAAAGACAAACAAATAAATACATTACGGGGAAAGTAAAAGGATTGGGGGCCAACTCTTAGAAATTCAAATTAATGTTGCTTAAAGTAAAAAAATTGATGTTGCCCAATGCTTCTTATTTGAGGCTAGACTGAAGTGGATCAAAGTGTTGTAAAGTCTGGGGATAAATGAACCTGTATGTTTGCAGTTCTTTTAAAATGTGTCTATATTTAAGAAGACCAAATTCTTCCTGCTTGGATTTTTTTAAGCCCAGCTTTTTTTGGTTGAATAAATTCCATCTGTTTACACCATTTTATACCTACTTTTAAAGTTCAGCACTGTTCCAAGTCACTGTAATATCTGCTGATTTAAAAACTGTGTCAGCAAATTTTGCTTTTCAGACTGCTGAATCCATGTGGCTTCATGAAATTAACTCTTAATTTGCAACCATCAAGAAGATAACAATATAACAAAAGAATAGTCAACAGAACTTTTTAGGCTGAAAAGCTTCTACTTTTCATTTATATATTTCCTGACAGCCCTGTAGCTAGAACATATTCGATATGGGGGGTACTGCCTCCACATGCTTACATCACTTCTGATGTCACTTGAAGAGGCTCCTCTGTGCCTCTCAGCACTCCTGCCTGGCCTCCCTTCCCCCCACCCCGTGTCTTCCCGCCAGCAAATCCAATCTAGGCCAATTCCTCTTGCATTCAACCACATGATGCCATAATACATTCATCATTTCTCAGTCCCCCTCTCCAGCAGCCTCGACCAGCTTCCCCATCCACTTGCATTCCAGATTGTGTGCACCAAGCAGGAAAACAGCTTCTTTCCCCCCACCCAGGGGAACCCCCCCCCCCCGATGAGGTCTCCTAAGCAAGCTGGGCAGGCTCAAAGGCAGCCAGGAATCATCAGCACTGCAAAAGAACAATCTGCCAGTAACTGCACATGGGGGGGGGGCTACTTAGGCCAAATCTACATATGCATTCTAGAATCAGCTTGGTGCTGCTGTTATCCCATGTGGTTTAGAACTGCTGCACCTCTGCTTTCAAGTTAGCATTAGGGGAGCTGTCCACTTTGTCTTTTTTCAGTTATCTAATCACAATCTATTGTTCATCACTAGATGGCCCCTGGGGGTTACTGGAGTGTTCTGGGACTGGAATGAGAAGCCCCACAGTGGAATGGTAGGCCCTGGGGTTAGCAGGAGTATTCTGGGAATGGAATAACCGGCTCCAGAGTGGAATGACAGCCCAGGGGGTAGGAGATGTGTTCTGGGACTGTAATGATAGGCCTGGCATTCCAGTTCCAGGACACTCCTCTTACTCCAAGGGGATGTCATTCTACCATTGGGCCTGTCATTCCACTCCCAGAACACAACTGCTACCCCGAGGGGCTGTCATTCCACTCTGGGGCCTGTTATTCCAGTCCCAGAACACTGCTGCTACCCCCAGGGGCTGTCATTCCATTCTGAGGCCTGTCATTCCATTTCCAGAACACTCCTGCTACCCCCAGGGGCTGTCATTCCACTCTGTGGTCTCTCATTCCAGTCCCTGAACACTCCTGCTACCCCCAGGGGCTGTCATTCCACTCTGTGGTCTCTTATTCCAGTTCCAGAAAACTCCTGCTATCCCCAGGGGCTGT